CCTCATCCTTGGAGTGCACCTTCTCTTGCTTTTTGCATTTGGCTGTTCTTACAACTTGATCTTTTTCTCCCAGAGTAGGACTCAATGCTTGCCTCCCGGTTTGACCCAGCAGAAGGGAAGGCTGTCCCCTTTAAGGGATTTTGGACTTTAGCTCCCAGAAGCCTCAGCCATGTTGGCCAATAGTCTGGGTTTTTAAAAGGGATAGTTTGGGGATCGCTGCTGGCTCAGACCAGGAGTCATTCATTCATTCATTCATTCTCTCTCTCTCTCTCTCTGCTCTTGCATCAGCTGCTCTTTTAAGAGCCCTGGCTAGAGGAGGAGAGACATTCACACATAGAGAGGCACAGGAGGAAGAAGCAAGCATTTTCTCTTGTGTGTCTCTTTGCCTCTACCTTTGTCTGAGCAACTGTGCCTTTAAGAGCCCTGACTGTTATCCTAAGGAACCATGGGAAAATCTGGCAACAAGCACACAAATGGGGAGAATCCTGTAAATGACTTTCACACTACAGCAGTTGTGCAAAGAAAGCAAATTCGTGAATGAAATAGAAATGAAAACATGGTATTTTCCCAAAAATGACACTGTCCTAATTCATGTTGCTTTTTCTTCAGATTCTAAGCGATTTGCACACAGTGTCATGTGAAAACCATTTGCACAATTGTGCCTAATACACTAGATAACCAAGGGTTCTGACCCATTTAAACTTCTATTTTTCCCCATGTGATAAACTCCAAAGACATGAAGCAATAGAAGTAAACTACAGTTCAGCATTAGGAAGAACTTCTTGCAGTAACAGCTTTTTGACAGTGGAACATGCTTTCTCGGAGGGTGGTGGAGTATCCTTTTTTGGAGGTTTTTAAACAGAGGCTGGATGGCCATCTGTTGGGAGTGCTTTCATTGTGTGGTCCTGCATGGCACAGGGTTGGACTAGATGGGCCTTGGGGGTCTCTTCCAACTCTATGATTCTATGACCTCCAAAGATGGAGAATCCACCACCCTCTAGGACAGTCTAGTCCACTGTCATCAAGAAGAGTATTCCATTCTCCATTTTAGTTTTTCAGCCTTTGGTCAACAGTGTGGCTCTGGGGCATATTTTGTCCTCAGTAAGTTCTCAGTAAGGATTTTTTTTGGGTACTTTTGTATTCTTTTGTGCTATGTGAAGCAGACTGCTCTCCCTTTTGTTTAACAGCGGTCCTCATCTGGCTTCATAATGGTATCTGCACTTGCCATTTTAGTTTGCTTTTAAATTTAGATGTAGACTCTCCTTCATTCATAGAATCATACAATCACAGAGTTGGAAGAGACCACAAGAGCCATCCAGTCCAACCCACTGCCATGCAGGAATATACAATCAAAGCACTCTTGACAGGTGTCTATCCAGTGTCTGCTTAAAAGCCCCACCAGTCCCTGAGTCAGCATGTTGCAGGAAGTTCTCAAGATATGGCCAAAATGTGATAACCTCAGTTAAGTCATCTTTTCTTCTAGAAAGCGTGATTTGCTTTATGACCTATTTATTGGCCTTTTTAACAGTCCATGATATGCTCAGAACTCCCCTCCAGCACCACATCTTAAACAAGTTGATTTTCAACTAAATGTAAAAGTTTTAGGGGCCAGCCCTTACAGTCAACCAGAAGCCTAGAAAAGCATGCTGTGTTGCGTGTGCAATAAAATATCCCTAGGATGATACTGGGAAATTACACTCCAGGTCAAATAATTGCTATATTTAGGCAAGGGAAGGATTACATCCAAGACAGATTGGGTAGTGACAGTGTGGTTTTTTTGTGGGTTTTGTTTTGTTTTTGACTTCTGTTGTAATGTGCAGTTTGAGTTTTTTTAATGAATCATCTGTGTCTTTTGCTCTGTACACACATCTTATAGAACACTTCCTCTCTCATTGTGATGATGGAATAAAATAGTTCTTGGAATACGTGGCAGAATTACTAATATTTCTTTAACAATTGGTTCTGCTTGTTCCAGTTCTAATATGTAGTCTGCACTCTGAAGACCATGAGCTTAGGTCTGTCAGGCTGTTATAGTGGGTTCATTTGTACAATGTGACAAGCCAGGGTTCCACATTGTTCAGTCATGACCATTTGCAGTATGAATGACTAAAGAAATCATGGCATATTTGTTTGCAGTTGTTTTATCATGTCATTGAGAGAAGAGAGTTTACCTTTTCTGGTTTGTTCTCTCCAAGAAAACTAGAAAAGAATCCAAAGTTTATCCTTGGCTTCTTTCTGTAGCTTGTTGGGAGGAAATGCACCAAAGAAGAGAAAATGCCTCCTGCTGGATGACACATGATTTATTTAGCTATGCCTGCTGAATATTTTATTTATTTATTTTCTGTGCTTTCTGCCAGAAAGGGACCCAAGGCAGCTCACAAATAAAAACTCTTTAAAAACTTATTATGATAAAACAATTACAGCATCACATAAAAACAAAATAAAATTACAAACTTTAAAACCACATTAAAACTGATGGCACAGTGGTTAAATGCCTGTACTGCAGCCACTCACTCACAAACCACAAGGTTCTGAGTTCAGTCCTCACCAGGGGCTCAGGGTCAACTCAATCTGGCATCCTTTTGAGGTCGCAAAAATGAGTACCCAGTTGGTTGGAGGCAATTAGCTTACAGTTGTAAACCGCTTAGAGACTGCTTAGTGCGGTATGAAGCGCTATATAACTGAAGCTGCTATTGCTATAAAACCACAATACCACCTCATATAGTAAACACCCTATATATAAAAGCCATTCTATTATTACACATTAAATGGCTGCCTGAATAAAACTGTTTTTGCTTGCCAATGGAAGGCAAGCAACAAGGGGCCCCACCTCGTTTCCCACAGAAGGGCACTCAAGAAGGTGGAAGCAGCCACCAAGAAAGCTCTTTCTTGTGTCCTCACCAGGTGTGGTGGTGGTGGGACTGAGAGAAAGCCTTCTCCTGAAGATCTTAGGGCTCTCACAGGTTCTTATGGGGAAATATGGACTCTCAAATAGTCTGGACCTAAGCCGTGTAGGGTTTTATAGGTCGTGACCAGCACTTTGAATTGTGCCTGGAAATGAATTGGTACCTAGTGAAGCAGTTTCAACAAAAGAGTTATAGGTTCCCTATCAGCATTCTTGCTGCGATGTTTTGCACCTGCTGAAGTTTCTGAGTTTCCAAAGGCAGCCCCATATAGTCCAAATGTAACAGTTGTCAAAACAGGATATAATCAAGGTATGTGTCACAACAGCCAGATCTGATGTCTCAAGGAACAGGTGCAGCTGGCACACTGGTTTTAACTGTGCGAATGCACTCCTGGCCATTGCTAAACCTGGGCATCCAAGCTCAGATGGGACCAGCTAAGCTATGTGCACCAGCATATTGCTCATTCATCTCAAGCTAGGATTCTTATGTAACTTTGGCTTGTTGTGTTGTCCAAATGTATCCATTGTGCTTCTGTGGCACAAATGAAGCAGTTCTGGCATCTTTGTTGTTCTTCTTCTTCTTCTCCCCTACATCATATAGAATTTTGTTTCAGTTCAGTTTTATTACAATTCTGGGAATTGTAGTTTTGTGAGACATTTAGCCTTCTGTATCAAACAGTTCTGGTGCCACAACAAACTACAATTCTCAGAATTCCATAGCATTGAGCATTGGCAGTTAAAGTGGTGTGGAACTGGGTTATTTCTGCACTGTGGATGCAACATACTTCATATAGACTTTTGAATGCTACAGGATATGATTCTAAAGAGCAAAGCATCTGTGTACTCGTAAGGAAAATATAAAGGTGTGTTGTAGTGGCATGAATCACGTGTTCAAATCACCTACTACTGTGCAGTTTTATTTTTATCTTAATAAAAGCCCTAGACTAGTTATATAAATAATACTTAGAATAATTAATTTTATTGCAGAGAATAAGTAATGTTTGGAATAGTTTAAAATAAACTTGAGAAAGATTATTTAAATAGCAAATTCAGTATTTTACATATGTCTTAAATATACTGAGATAGCCTTATTTTAAGTCTTCTTGCTACCATCAAGTCTTCTTATTTTAAGTCTTCTTGCTACCAACTTTTGTTTGTTCCAGACATAGAGAATTTTGATTTTAGGTGAGATTCTGCTTTATGTTTAAATTTGCTAACAAAAGACTCTGCTTGATATGCATACACCTGACATTGTATTATTGATATAAATGTATACTCCCCAAAGAACTGAACAAGGTTTGTTTTTTGTGTATATTGCTTAATTTGAGCAAGAGTTATACAGTAATACCATATAACACCTCTGTACTCTCAAAAGGAGGGAAAGTCTCATGGGGCACTAGAACATATTTTAAAACACTGAATCTTTTTTAAAATAGTACTGTAATAGTATGCATAATGATATTTTCATAATCTGCCAGTAAAAAAATAACCATTATGCTTTAAATTCTGAGATAATTTAAGAAAAATACAGCTTCACAC